AGCTCTTAAGGCCAAATGCATCAAGATTTCCAGCCATATGAAAAAGTATGTTACATTAACTAGTATCTTGTGTAGTTTACATCATTGTATGCTAGTTATAGGCTTAATACCTTGGAAACACCTTTGCATGTATAATTAGTGAAAACATAGATCCAAGGTATTTAGGGTTGTATGTGCACCATAGGATGTTGTATTATACCGAAACCCATCAGTTCTTTAGTCTAAAGAGATGAGTCAGCAGATCAGGCAGAGATTGCAGACTGCTCAGAGTCGTCAGAAGAGCCATGCCGACCGACGCCGATCTGAGTTGGAGTTTCAGGTCGGCGACATGGTGTTGCTGAAGGTCTCACCTTTAAAAGGTGTGATTCGCTTTAGGAAGAGGGGTAAGTTGGGTCCCGGATATATTGGGCCATTCCGGGTTATTGCCAAGGTTGGCAAGGTCGCCTACAAATTGGATCTTCCTTTGGAGCTCAATCAGATTCATAGCACATTCCATGTTTCGCAGCTGCGAAAGTGCGTATTGGATGAGTACGCAGTTGTGTCATTGTATTATATTCAGGTTGATGAGCTTCTGAAACTATGTTGAGAGACCAGTAGCTATTCTGGAGAGGAAAGTTAAGGGTTTGCGAAGCAAGGAAGTACCTTTGGTAAAGGTACAATGGCAGCATCGGAGGGGCTCCGAGTGGACCTGGGAGCCAGAGCCGGAGATGCGGGAGCATTACCCAGATTTGTTTGATGCAATGGACTTTGAGGACAAAGTCTAGATCAAGTGGGGGAGAGTTGTAACATCCTGGTCTTTCAAGTATTTTCAAATCCTTCCTTTAGTTTTCAAATATGTCATTTTGGGTCCTTTGAGTATAACGATGTAGCCTTAAGAAGCCCTAGTGGCAAAATGGTAATTTTTGGAGCATGAGTAGTACATTGGGTGTACATGTGGGTACACTAAGCATACTAGGGCGTGCCCTAGGACGCTGGGCGTACACATATGTACTTTGGGCGTACACATATGTACGTTGGGTGTACTAATGTCCGGGTGAATCCCTAATTTTTAGGGTTTGAAGAGTATTTAAGGACCTTAATAGATCATTTAGCCTCACTCTTTCAGCCTTCAAGTCCTTGAGTCGTTCCTAGCAAACCCTAATCCCATAAGAGAGTATTTTGAGCTTAAAGTGTGCTATTTGTGTGCTTAAAGGAGAATTAAGTGCATCAAGGAGTCAAGGAAGGAAAGCAAGCTTGTAGATCTTGGACCATCATCTCATTTGGAAGCTCCAGAAGGTAAAAAGTTGCTACCTCTATGTTTGGTTTGCTTACATATCATCTTGGTAGCTTTATGATGTTCTTTTGTCCCTAAAAGCCCCATTGTTGTGCATGTTTGATTTTGGACGTTTTGGGTTGTCCTTCTAGACCCTAGGAAGGGTACTTAGTCATAAAAATGAGGTCCCAATGGCTAGAAGTGTCTCATGCATTTGGAAAAAGAGGCTTAATGGATTACGACCTTTCATTAAGAATTTATGGACGTTTAAAGTCATAAAGTTGGAGACGCTATGACTCTAGGGTGCATTTAGACCATGGAACTGTAATCTGGGCTTAAGTGCTTAAGCCATTAAGCACTTAATGGACTTTTAGGATCTGCGAGGGTACGCCCCGCGTACTCGGTCATCCACCCCAATGGTGGTCAATGTGAGGCTCGTGTATACCCTGCGTACCTCCGGTATACACCCAACGTACGTCGTCTATGGACTTTTGGATTTGGGGTTCGAGTTTTGGGCCACCTTTTGGGCTTGAATGAATTGGTCCCTCATTGGACTTTCTGAGTATGAGTGTTTTGGGCCAGTTGGAGAGTTGGACCATAGGATAAGGCCCAATAAAGGGTTGGGCCCAATTTGGAAAATTGGGCCAATTATGGGTCTTGAATTAATTTGGGTCTTTTGGATCAAAAATTAGGACTTGGGCCTTAGACCAATTGGGGAAAGGGTAAAGTGGACATTTACCCTAAGTATGGATCCTTAGTCAAGGATGGCAATCCAATTGTTAAGTTGATGTTTGTTTTGTTGTGATAGTTTGGGATTTTCGTGGGCCAGCAGCCGAAGGTTTTCAGTGTCGTTTGTCATTGTAAGGCGAGTCTTCCTCACTGTACTTGCGGGTCGAAGGCACCAAGGCCGACCCTTTGGATTTAATATCTTGTTATGTATGTTTATTGTGTTGTAGTGATCTGTTAGATCGGTATCCTGGTATTTAGGATGTTGTTATGCTTAATGATCTATAAGATCTATCTGTTTGTTTGTTGGCTGGTTAATAGTATGTTAATCTGTATTATGTGCACATGATTGGTTGGTGGTTGAGGCTTCACTGCTTTGTGCGTAAGCCAACAGGCCGGGAAATTCCAACCCGATGGTTGAGGGCCTGGGGTATTCCAACCCGATGGTTGGTTGGACCCATAGTATGTTGGCATTCCAACCCGATGGTTGAGGGTGCTGGGGTATTCCAACCTGATGGTTGATTGGGCCCATAGTATGATGTTTTGTATTTGTGCTATTTGTTATGTATTGGTGTCTTGGGGGAACTTACTAAGCTCCGGGCTTACAGTTTTGGATTATGTTTCAGTTACCTCAGAGGATCGCGAGAAGGCGAAGGCGTGATCGTACACCTCCTCATGTTTTACTTTATGATTTTGGGATTTCTCTGATATTGAACTTATTTTGAAAACAATATGTAAACAATGATGGTTTTTGGGTTGTTGAAAATTTTAAAATTTTCATGAATTTTATGGATGTTACACAGACACACCAGAGAGTGTGCCCAAATCCCTCAAACCAAGGCTCTGATACCAACTTGTAACGTCCAAAAAATACCGAGTAAAATTTTCTTTTTAAATAAGTCAAAACCATTCATTCAGTATCCCCAAAAGACAATCAGAGTAAAAGTATTCTAAAAAAACATCAGATTAAAGTCATAACAATCAATGCAGAATAAATCTCCAGGGGATGCAGTACGATCAAGCCAGGCTCTTCCTTTTGAAACTGGAAGTACCTGAAAATTTTTAAACTACAAATATGTAAGCACAAAGCTTCGTGAGTTCCCCAAAATACCACATACCATACATACATCGGGCCCCGACAAGCATTGGGCCCCGCCCAATATACATACAAACACATGCAAGAGTCAGAAAGAAAGCTAGCATCCTACAAACATAATCCAGTGGGCCGGCATTGGTGCCTTCAACCCACAAGTATAGTGAAGAGACTTACCTAAACTACTCAACAAAAGTTCAATAGATACCTCAACAGTAGCACAGCCAACCCAAGCTTCCTAAAATCCAAAGCGAGACCAATCCTTAGTCAAATACTCAATTCTACCCAAGTTCGACCAAAAGTCAAACCGGTCAAAAAGTCAACGGTCAAAGCTAAGGTTAAATTGCCAACAGTAGCCCTCCTCGTTGTGGCCTTCCTTGGCTACTTCGTGGGCACAAAATGCCAAAACAGTCGATGGTTCCCCAATCGCCACACCGTGGCAGCCTAAGGCCACACCGTAGGGACTGGTCTGAACAACTCAAACGAGATTAATCCATTTTCTTCCGATTTCAGGAGCTCCAAAGCTCAGATCTGATCATCTCTAAGGTCTTAATGGATAAAGTTTCTAACTTTATCTATTAGGAATGTCCAAACCACCAAGATCTACACTTTAAGTCTCAAAGGGACCCAAAAATGCACCTTTCACAACGTAATCCATTAAGCCCAAGTCTCCAACCCTCAGATCTGAATCAACATGATATTTAGATGGATAAAGTTTCCAACTTTATCCATAACAAAGTCACAAACTTTCAAGATCTAAACTTTAATACACCAAAATGACCTAAAGGACCAAGATAACTTACATCACTAAAAGGGAAGGCAAAAGATCACAACTTTCTTTGTCCATGAGGTCCATGAAGCATTCTAAACTGATCAAAAGATGTTGGAGTCCACTCAACTCCAAGATAACCCATAAAAGGGACCAAAAGTGCGAAAAACCCCAAATGAAAAGATCTAAAGAACCGAATAGCAAGATTGGAACATTACACTTACAATAGTCTAGAAATATAGTGCCTTTGATGGATCCAAACTTGAAACATCATTCCTTGCAACCAAAACAACCTTCTTGATCTTCATGCTTCATCAAAACATCACCAAAAGCATCCAAAAAGATGAGAAAGAAGCGAGGAGGAGCTCAAATCTTGAAGGTGGAGACGGGTTTCTCCCAAGGGGTTCTAGAGGTGATGAGGGCTAAGAAAATACCCTAAAACATGAATTCTTACATTTAAATACCTTGAAAACCCTAAAAAAATTGTGGGCTTGGGCTGCACAGTTCTCACCTCGTGACAGCCTGTGCTCACCTCGTGAGAACGGTTTTCACCCAATTTCATTGCAATTTCAAACAATCATAACTTCTTTGTTTCTACTCCGTTTTCAGCGATCTTTATATGAACGGAAATGTATTGACGAGCCCACAACCTTATGTAATTAATTTTGGCTTAATACATGTCGAACTAAAAACCATAATACATGCAAGAAGTCTGGAATATATTACTTTTCCCATTCTACCATTTGACTCCAAAACACAACCCAAGGGCTCAGATCACATAACAAATATTATCAACATCCAATAGGGTTTAAACTCTATTTCTTTGAATCCAACGAATTTTACTCGATCTATTTATAGCCCACAATCTCAAAATAAAAAACTTCTCGAAACAAGATTTTACTCGATTCATTTTTCGTTACCATTTTTAGTTATTAATATTATTTTTCTTTTTTACCGTGGGTTCCATAGATTATAACATAATTAATAATAAATTATCCAATTAATAACGTAGCTTTACGATTAGAGATGCTCAAAGTAAAAACTAATTTTCAAACAACCGTGTTCGCACAGTCAAAAACTGTACCCACCCAGTCGCCGTTGATTCCCCCCTCCATTTTACACGTCAAAACCAACGATATGAACAAGGAAATCTTTTAAGCCTAATCAAGTATAGGACACGTACAAACAATGAAGGAAAACTCCAAATCAAACAAGTCAACAATCTCGGTAAACAATGATTTCTTGGTCAAAAATATCTCCATATGAACTTGAAATTCCAATGTTCTTCTCCTTCTACATTCATCTTTTTCAAAATTTAATCAAACCCCACTTCTTAATTCCTACTCAATTTCAAAACCCAAAACTAGAACTCAACAGATGTCTTTCTACATAACGAATTTCTTCAATCCCCAATCTGCCGCGGAGAAGGCGGTGTCCGTGATTGGAAATGGTTACGACCTCACCTTAGATATCCGATTAAATGGCTGTAAACCCGGTCCTTCCGGGTCGACCCTTATCGATCTCGACGGAACCCTAACTAAAGACCTGGTGGTTCCCGGCGGCGGCGTCGTACCCAATGTTCCCGCCTCTATCAAGTGCGATAAAGGCGAACGCACTAGATTCCGTTCCGATGTTATTTCGTTTAACCAGGTAAGTGTACTCTAACAGTCCCTCTCACTTTGAATTCTCAATTTAAACCTGAAATTGATGGAGTTTATTTACCCACTTAGATTACTATTTGGATGTGATGCTTGAAAGAGACCACCTTAATCATAATCACCTTTAAAACGCACATCCAAACACCTCTACCATTCAAAATTGAATGAGAATATTTTGAATTATTCATGAATTTGATAGGAATTGCGTATTATGTGAACAGATGGTAGAGCAATTCAATCAGGACGTATCTTTATCAGGGAAGATACCTTCTGGTTTCTTCAATTCCATGTTTAATTACAAAGGATGCTGGCAAAAAGACGCATCTTCAACAAAAAGTCTAGCTTTTGATGGTTGGTTTATAACATTGTATAACATCGAGCTACAAAGAGCCCAAATCTCGTTATCTGAGAAAGTGAAAAGCGAAGTGCCCTCTTCATGGGATCCTGCTGCACTTGCAGGGTACGACCCTCGTTGCTTATAAATCTTGAATCTTGAATATTTCTTGGAATTTGTCACAAAACATGTTCTTTGAACATTAATTTTAGTGGAATTTTTCCCAAAATATACTGTCTTTTTCTCATAAAGTGTCATTTACCTAGACAAATACCTAATAGGGAAAAAAAACATTGAATAAGTTTTACAAGGGCAAATGGGTCAAACCGTCAAATCATGGCATATAATACTTAGTTAAGACGGAGATATTTTGTTTATAGGTTTATTGATAAATATGGTACACATATGGTGGTTGGGGTTAAGATGGGTGGCAAAGATGTAATTTATCTAAAACAACTACAAACTTCAGATCTCGAGCCAAGACAAGTCCGGGATATACTAAAGCAATTAGTGGACCAAAAATTATCCGAGGACGTAAGTGAAATACCCGTTTTGCCCCCTGAGAAGTCATCTAAGCAAAAGGTACGCACACATTGCAATAGAAAGAAATGAAAGTAGGACGCTATACAGAAATAAATGAAATTATGTTGCTATTTTCTTCATTTTGTTTATAGGAAGAACGAATGGTAGCATGGGACGTTCCTCTAGTTTTCACAAACTCGCTAAGACCATCCGTCACATCACTCTCGAAGAAGGACGTAAGCTCATAGTTTATTTATTTATTTAGTTATTTTTCTAGTGATATTAGTTGGGACATCAAGGAATATATAGGGAAAAATATAGAAGAATACTTGTACTTTCACCATTTTATCGATTTAGCCATGAAACTATAAATAATCATACAAAATTAATAGTTTAGTGGCTGGATCAATAGAATGGTGAAAGTACATTGTTTTTTTCCCTCTTTAGTCCAATTTAAATTCAAAACCAGGTAACCAAAAAAATTGTTTTCTTGAACAGTTAAAAAAAAAAATGTGGCTAAATTATACTTTTTTTGATTGTGTAAAATATCATTTTCCGGGTTACCTGGTTTTAACATGACAAGATACAAAAGAATCCAACGTAACTTCACAATTATATCGATTAAGCCATTGAACTATAAGTAATCACAAAAAAGTAGTAGTTTAGTGGCTAAATTGATGCAATGATGAAAGTACCTTATGCTTTTTTGTATCTAATCATATCAAATGGGGTGACCGGGATAATGTTACTTTTATAAAATAAAAATAAATTTTATAATTGTCTAATCACTAGTGAAAATAGGCTAAATCTAAATCATTAAAATGGTGAAAGTACAAGTGTTTTTTTTTTTTTTTCTCCCAATGGAATTTAGCTAAAGCTAATGTGCAACATTTGATTGTTTTTTTTTTCTTAGGATTTATTAAGCATTCATGTTCGTCAAGGAGGTATAGACAACAACCAAAGTCACAATGATTGGCTTTCGACTGTATCACAATCACCAAATGTCATCTCAATGTCATTTGTTCCAATTGTTTCCCTTTTAAATGGTGTTCGTGGTAGCGGATTTCTTACTCATGCGATTAATCTCTACCTTCGATGTAAGTACTAACATTTGTTTCAAGGCAAATTACACAAAAACACAACATATTTTCATCATATTATCAATTTAGCCACTTAACTAGTTTTTTTTGTAGTGATAAAACCATTATAACGTTTTCTAACCGTTAAAAAAACATATTTTACTGTTACCGTTTTTACAAAGTCATAAATGAGTAACGGACTAATTGTTTTTGTACCATTGTTTTAAAAAAGTACCGTTAGAAAGAACGTTTTGTTCACAAAATACCATTAAATACCATAGAAATGAAGTAATTAGTGAACAAAATGGTCCAGTTGCTTACATTCTCATGGTAGTTTTATAAAACAATGGTATTTTGTGAAGAAAAAAAATAACAATAGCTCGTTACCCATTATGACATTAACCCTTTCGGAAAAGGGCTAAATACAGGAAACAAAAAGCTTGTACTTCCATCATAATTATGTATTTTGCGGTTTTGCTATTTAACTATTTTCTAATCAGTTTTGCACTTTAACTATTTTCTGTAGTGATTAAACCATTATACACTTTGTTTGACCATTTAAAAGGCCATATTCCCTGGTTGCCTAGTTTTGAAATAGGGTAAAAAAAAAAGATAACTTACTTTTACCACTTTATTGATTTAGCTACCGAACTATTAACTTTTTTATGATTGTTATGATAAAGTTTCGTGGCGAAATCAATAAAATAGTGACAATTCGTTGTTTTTTTTAATGTATTTTTGTAGTAATATTAAAACCGTGCAACTATAGAGAATGTTTTTTTAACACTAAAAAAAATATTGCTTTAGTTGCTACAAGAAATAATCAACTGACTAATTCGATAAGACGGTGAAAGTATGCGTATTTTTCCCTCTCTTTTATCACCATTTTGCTCATAGATTGATTGCTAGGTTTTTTTGATCAATTATTACATTTTCAGATAAACCGCCAATAGAGGAACTCGAGCAATTTCTCGAGTTCCAGTTACCGCGGCAATGGGCGCCCATATACAGCGATCTGCCGCTAGCAGCTCGCCGGAAAACACCATCAATGCCATCACTTCAGTTCACATTCTTAGGTCCTCGACTTCACATCAACACCACAAAGGTAAACCTCTTTTTCACCAAATTCATATATGCATCGTTGTTTGTACAACATGCATTGATGGTTGTACATTTGTAGGTCGATTCCGGCAACCGACCCGTCACCGGTGTGCGCTTGTATTTAGAAGGCCGGAAAAGCAATCGACTGGCCATCCATCTCCAACATCTATCCACGGTTCCAAAATCGCTCGAACTTTTTGATGATTTTATCAATGAACTTTGTGAGGAACATTCCGGAAAGGGATACATGGAACCGGTTAAGTGGGCCATCTTCTCGCACGTGTGCACTGCCCCGATTGAATACAGTGAGACTCGGATTGATGATGACTCGGCTTCAATTGTGACCAAGGCATGGTTCGAGGTGAAAGGGGTCGGTATGAAAAAGGTTCTTTTTCTCCGATTAGGGTTTGCGATGGTGAAGTTTGCAAAAATCCGACGGTCCGAATGGGACGGACCTTCGACGCATTCCCGAAAATCGGGAATGTTGTCGATGTTGATGAGTGCCCCGTTTAGTACGGGGCTTTCACCGGCTGATCAGAAGTCTGATCAGCCGGTGAAGGTGGATTTGAACTCGGCTATTTATCCGAGTGGGCCACCTTCGGGTGAACCAAAAATGTCGAGTTTTGTTGATACGAAGGAAATGGTTAGGGGACCGGAGAATCCACCTGGGTATTGGGTGGTAACCGGAGCGAAGCTATGTATGGAGGGTGGTCGGATTAGAGTGAAAGTTAAGTATTCGTTGTTGGTTATAATGTCGGAGGATTCCATGTTGATGTGAGAAAATGAGTAGCCATTGTTGCATCATGTTATGTTATATTATTTATGATGATTTAGATTGTACATACAAATTCGATCAAATTTGAGTTAGAATACAAGGATATAGATGAAATATAGGACAGGCAGAATTTGAGTTTATAACATCTTAATTCATGTTTGTTAAGACTAAAGATTTTTCAACTACTTTAATTCAAACATTTCTCCACTTAAGTTCAAGTCAACATCAAGAAAGACTTGACCTAATTATCAAGTTAAAGCTAAAGCACCTACGACCTCTCATCCCCTTCTACCACGATTTGACTAATCCTCAATATTTCAAAAAATTGAAAAACAAATGAGAATTAAAAAGAATAAATGAACAATACCTAAAGGCCACCATACATTATTGTCTAAGCATTTATATTTTGGACTAATTTACATAAATAGTATTGTGGTCTTGTGGGATATCCTTATGATTTTAATTTATTGTATCGCGATGTAAAATTACTATTTCATTTTATTTTGATATTCTTTTTCAATATTTATTATTTTTGTTTAGTTGAAGTTAATATGTTACTGATAATTTAAATTGATTTATATATTATTATGCAAGTAAAAAACACTTCACTCCCCTCACTACACCGTTTAAATAAATAAATGAACCACCACTTTAACACCCGACAATTTTAACATAAAATAGACCCATTTTTTCTTATAAACGTCAACTAGGGAGATACTATTACATCAAACCACGGTTTAACAAGTTGTTATCAAAATACATCCAGAATACAAAGAGTAACTGGGCCCGGGTTGTTACGATAGTTCTTTCCAACAGAACTATACTAGCATCTAGTCCTCCCATCACTCGACACAACATAAAATGTCATATAGGATTTTCAGTATGGATTATCCAATTTACTCAGCATATTTCACTTCCACAATTCCAACAAAATAACTCTACTGCCCATAGGTATACTTTGACAGTTGAATCATAACCATATGTACACCTTAGAACATGTCTCTCATAAGAAAGAAATTATAGGTACAGTATGATAGTTACAACACGATGTAACCATCTATACACCCAATGGAGGAACTAGGGGTGTAAACGAGCCGAGTCGAGCCGAATACTACTAAGCTCGAAGTTCGGCTCGACTAAAATACTCGAGCTCGAAACTCGGCTCGAGCCTTGATTTTAAGCTCGAGCTCGAGCTCGGGCTTGTGAAATACTTGACAGTCTTGAGCTCGGCTCGACTAATATTTAAAAAAAAATCAAAATCATTAAATTGAGTAAGAAATATTAAACATTCCACATGCAAATGTCCGAACTACAAAAAAAAAAAAAAAAAAAAAAAAAAAAAAAAAAAAAAAAAAAAAAAACTCTACTATTAATCACCTAATATCAAGATAACATCAACCATATATGTCAAAAATGGATAATTATAAGCAAATGACATATATGTTATAAATGAACAATTATAAAGAAATGACATATATGTAAATTGCACTAAGCTCAACTAAGCTCGCGAGCTTTACGAGCTGAGTATTTTAGTACTCGAGCTCGGCTCGATTAAGGTCGAATCGATTTCGAGTATTTTCCGAGTCGGTCTCGAGTTTTTCGTGAGTTGGCTTGTCTCACTTACACCCCTAGGAGGAACTGGTAGGTGTCGCGGGGGGTTCTAGGCCACTACTCGATTTCGACTCCGAAGAGCAATTTTTTTTATTGTATTATGTGCAACTACAAAAATTATTATGCAACTATTATTAGGTTCGACATAAATAAATATGGTGCACAAAAAGGAAAAGAATGCAACGATTTTCTTCCTAGGATGGGGAGATTTGTTGACTTCCAGCCTCCATCTACAAGTCCAAACCAGAAAAAAAAAACTAAAAAAAATAAAAACATAACAAACTTGTCAATAACAACTTTCAAGAAATGCTTATGTTGACTATAATGTTCTTTGTTGAATGATTGCACACGTTGATTTGTTGAATTTCAGCCTCCATCTAGGAGTCCACCATTTTTTATGGAACCATTTTATTCCTAGGATGACAAAATTTATTTCTACCCTATGATGAACACATTAAATGGAGAAGATGAAATAGTGGGTGGATTTACTATAAAAAGAGTTTCTTCTATCGGTTGTAAGGCATCCTAAACACAAAGAGTTAGAAAAAGTCAAACAAATCAAGCATGGGAAGTCAACATGCTATAAGAAATTTGTCAATCCATGAAGATAATTATGCTAAAGAAGAAGATTGTTTTTCTTTTCCTAACCATTTGCCTCCACTTGAGTTCGGGTAGTAATGACGTAAATTCTTACAAAAGAACATTAATCTTAACTTTTGTTTTTCTTTTGTTCTTTACTTTTAGTTAATTGGTAAAAATATATGAGTAGGTTTCCGGAGACATGATGCAATGTCACTTACGATTTGATCCCAACGCTGCTAGAGCAACATTAGAATGGATTTGACGTGTGGCCATAGATAGACATCATCTCAAGAGATTTACCGTCTCTATCTTTAGATATCGTATCCAACCACAACCAATGTCTTCTCCTAGGTTGTATTATTGATGAGCTTACATAGAACATTCAAGTTTTTTCATTTTATCTTCTTATTTATGTTATTCAGTAGACTCTTTGAATATTGGTACAGAGGATGATTTCATCGATGTCTATGGATTAGATAATGGATTATATTCCCTGAATCAAGAACATATCCATGGTGAACTCATGTGGGTTTTAGAATCAGAATCAATGACTTTTGATAACAAACACAGAGGATAAAAATGGTGGACAGATTACCAACACAACAATGATAAATGATAACAAAGAGAAGATGGAGTATAACACGAAGCTCACGCAAATGACAAATATGTTGGGGTTGGAAAACTCTTCTATTAAACACGAAAATAGAATTACAATAGGAGGAGCAACTCTCACACTCAACTATTACAAAAAAAAACCAACCCTCTATTCTAACACTCTCACTCTAAGTGTTATGCTTGAACTCTCTATGTTTGGGATGTATACAACTGAAGAATGAAGTCTTTATTTATAGTCTTGGCAGCCACCATTCATGTTTCCTTCATTAACTGTGTTCATCATAGGGTTGGAAGACTTTGCCACCCTAGGTTTCATTTTGTCAACAAAGATGGCCACTGTAGCTTTGGAGGCTGGAACACAACAAATCTCCCCTTCCAGTCTCCGTCCAACAATCCTCATCCCAACTATGCCAGCATATAGTTTGTGTTTCTCTTGTGTCACCACCTTTGTCAACATGTCTGTAGGATTTTTGTTGATGTTGATCTTTAACAACTTCAATTCTCATCCCTCAATTGCTTCTCTAAGCCAGTGATAACGAATATCAATATGTTTTTTGCGGGAATGGTACATCGAGTTCTTGCTGAGGTCCATAGCACTCTGACTATCACAGTGAATGATGTACTCTTCTTGTGGAAAGCCTAATTCTTAAAGAAATCGTTTCATCCATATAAGCTCTTTCCCGGCTTCAACGGCAACAATATACTCGACTTCTGTTGTTGACAATGCGACACACTTCTGTAACTTGGATTGCCATGAAATAGCTCCCCCTGCCAAAGTAAAAATGTAACTTTATGTAGATTTCCTATTATCAAGATCTCTTTCCATATCAGCATCTGTATAACCTTCTATGATTGGCTTTGCTCCCCCATAGCATAAACATAGTTTTGAACTACCCTTCAGGTATCGAAGTATCCATTTGACTGCTTCCCAATGTTGTTTTCCTGGATTAGCTAGATATCTACTCACATCACCGATAGCATGAGCAATATCTAGTCTTGTACACACCATTGCATGCATAAGACTTCATGTGGCTGAGGAATAGGGGATTGTCTTCATCTCTTCTTTCTCTTTCTCGGAAGATGGACAATTTTTCTTACTCAAATTTAAGTGATTAGCCAAGGGCGTACCAACGGGCTTGGCATTTTCCATGTTGAATCTTTTTGATCACACGTTCAACATACTATTCCTATGATAAGAACAATTTTCTTGATTTTCTATCACGAATAATTTTCATGCCCATCTGTTGTGTTGGGCCTAAGTCTTTCATATCAAAGAACTTAGATAGATCCTTCTTCAAGTTGTCGATCATCGTTACATCATAACCCACTATCAACATATCATACACGAAGAGCAAAAGGATGAAAATTTTCCCATCTGGGAACTTCTTTAGATAGACATAGTAGTCTGCAATGGTTCTCTTGTACTTATGATTCATCATAAATGAATCAAACTTCTTGTACCACTACTTTGGGGCTTGCTTAAGACCATGAAGGCTCTTCTTAAATTTTCAGACGGGATGCTCTTTCTTTGAGACTTTAAAACCATTGGGTTGTTCCATGTATTTCTTCATCCAAATCACCATGGAGAAAGGCTGTTTTTTGAAGGGTTTTGAGCATTCTAACACTCCTATGGTGTACATGAAACCCTATATGCTTTAGATCTATGTTTTCTCTATTATACATGCATACATTCAATATTCCAAAGCATCATCCTAACTAGCATACAATGAAGCATAAACAACATGAAGTACAAGTTAGATGACATACCTTTTAGTGTAGTTGGAAGCCTTGAACCTTTAAGAGCTTAACACCAATAGTATGAATGCCTCAAATGGAATCACAACACATCTAGGACAAAGGATAACTTGAGAGAGGAAGTCTTACACTCAAAATCAGCTATGGCTCTCCAAGAACACATGCATGGGCCGATTTCATGAGATAGGGGTTTCTTATATAGTGTGACAACATTAGGGTTACACCATGTAAACCCTAATGTGCATGACTTTCCATATTATTCATGCTAAATGGGTTTAAATCTCTATGGATCATCCATGGGTCACCACATGGGTTTAGCCCAACATAAAGAACTATGGATCATAAGCCCACATTACAAGAATGAATGATTTACATAATTAATCCCCATATATTTAATTAGTTTCTTTTGATCACATAATTAATTCCAAATTAATTCTTGATCAATACTAATTAAATAATATGATTTCATATTAATATATTAGAACTTATAATATATTAATAAATCATAAATAACCTCTTCTCAAAAGTCCATCCTATCAAATTGTCCTGATGATATGCAACTGAA